GATACGATTCGCTAAAAGCACACGACGAGATATCACAAAAGCGATGCAAAAGGTTACATGTATCGAAGATCTAAAAAAAGACGCAAACAAAAAAAGAGAGAGAGAGAGAGAAATTGATTATATTCGCGTCGATATACACACGCTCTGGTTACCGCGGGCGAGGATCTTCGTGCACGCTTTTTTCCATAAATATCGATCCAATCCACATTGGACGAGCCATAAACTCGGCTATTTCGCCGAGACGCGTGTGCTTATCTTTCGGCTCGGCTTCCAAGTTCATTGATCGCGATGAGGGGGATTTCGAACGGCGTCGAGATGGAAATCAAACTATGCGCGAAAAAAGCGTGGATGGGAAGAGGAAAAGGAAAAGGTATCACGCGCGAAACGGGTTGATCATAAAAGAGATAAATCGCGGAGCAAGCAAGTATTCCTCGCGCGCGCGCACGAGTCATATTTAAGTCATATTTAATTATAGCCCGCCAAATATCGGAGTCTGGTTCGCGAGAAATAAATCCTCGGAGAGATCGCAAGATTGTTATTTTCTCGAGAGATCTCGAAGAATAAATACAACGGGAGAACCGATATTTTCTATCTTAAGACCCGTCAAGAGAGCTCGCCCACCGCGATTCACTTCTAGAACATCTATTTATAACATTATTCTCGACAGCTCGATTGTTCCGGCAAAACGTTAAAAGCGAAATATACACAAAACGACGATGATCAATGATGGACCGGAAGGCGGTACCGATGAGACAGCGAACGACCTCGAGGTCGCATCATCCTCGGTTACGTGCCGGGCTTCTTAATTAGCTGTCCTTATCATTAATCAACCGACCACGGTGGTACAAGTGTAGCAGCAATAGCGGGCAGAAAGTGGCGGAGGAAGAAGGATGGGGTAGGGAGGGGGGTGCGTTCGCGAGGGTGAAAAGTGGGCAAACGGGGCGCGCGGTGCAGTCGGCGGAAATCAGCAGAATACCGCACCTGATCAATTAAGCTGCTAATCGCACCGAGATGACTGCTCGCCGCTATCATTCGTCGGATTGTCCTCCACTATCTCGCGTACCGGGATCCCGACTGCGTGTCCTGCTCATCCTCCGGCATCGTCGTTCCCTGTCCTTGACTCGATCTCCTCTCCTCGACTCGAGAAACGAGCGACGAGTCAGACGCGACAAACCGACCCGACCTTCCGCCGCGAGGGTGAGACAAGGTTTGCCCTTCTCGTCTGCCTTTCTCGAGGGAGGCGGCGACGACGAGCACGCGAGCTTGCGCGAACCTCGCACCTCGCACGACTAACCGAGGCCTGGAATCGGGGCTTGCCTGCCACCCTTGCTGCTAAATGCTGAAGAGCGGCGCCACGAGCGAGAAACTACCCCCTTCTTTCCCTTTTAGCTACGTGGGGAAGAGGAAACTGCGCCGCGCCGGCGATATATCGGGTGGCGCGGAGCACGAAGATTCTCCAGGGAAGCTCTCTGGTTTAATCGCACGCGAGCATCCTTAAACTCGCCCGAGAAATTTTTGCGCGCTTTCGACGCGGCGTATTTAAAAGCAAAATCAACCCCCCCTGCGAATAAAGACTAAAGTTCACGCTTGGTATTTTAAACGCGTGACATTTTCACGCGATATTTCTGTCAATACAATTTTCTTGTACCAATAGCGTCTTGTCTTCCAATGTTCGAGGGATACTTTCTCTCAATTTATATACATTACATATGTTTATTCAACTATTATCGGAGGTACGCAAGTCGTGCGATAAATGTCAAATGTCAAAATGCGCCGCAAAAAGCATTTTATTAATTGAATTACTGAATAGTTGGTGAGGCAAAGGTCGACAAGTGAGTTTCTTGTATCAAATAAATGTAGTTTTTTAAGATATATTATAAATATTGGGAAAGAATTTAAAAATATCAGTCTTGCCAAACATGTATTCCTTCCATAAAAATTTATCTGAATCAACAATTGATCTTTTGATCGAAGTAAAAAACAAAAATTAAATTTTTTTTATCAAAATTACTACAAGTTGAAAATTCTCTAAATCTTTTTAAAATTAATTTAAATTCTCTAAATACTGTTGATATATATATATATATATATATATATATATATATTTAAAATACTGTTGATATATATATATATTTAAAATTATAACTTGAAATAACCCAATAAAATTTTAGATATATACACAATATATCGCTTAAAAATAATTGGACGTGTTTTTCTTGAAATGAGAAATTTAATTTAATCGATACACATTACCATATATTTCCTCAAACTTTTCTTATTTTATCCACATAGATTATATATTCAAAATTTAAATATTTTTTCATATGTTATTTGCATTTATTATCCGCATTGCTATTGAACCGTGCCATTCTTACTGCGGATTTCCCTACATCGCGTTTTTTTTTCTTTAACCCATGGCGATGGGAGGGTTCGTGATTTCTTTTTCTCGTGCCTTTCTCTACGGAGCAACCACCTGTAACTCCTTCGAGACAGGCATTTCAAGTTGCATGCACCTCTATCTTCGTCTAACGCTCAACTCAATCGTTGCATTATTTTTTACACCCTCTAATCACATCCTTCACATAGATTGACAATCTTGTACATCAAAAGATAATTGATCTGGTTTCTTAAATTTTTCATTGCCTAATTAATTATTTAAATTAGCAACTAAAATGATAGACCTAAGAAGAAAAGTTGCTCTCTTTCTCTCTAAAAACATGTTACTATCTCGAAATTTATTTCTAGCTTTTACAGATTTTTCAAATTAAAAACTTAAACGCAACAATCTTTTTCAATAAATTATTTAATTAACTACTTAATTTCAATGAATTATCAAACTCAATCATTTCTGTGTGTACTGAACAAATGCAAGAAGACTATTCTTTCTACATACTTCAAATTTATGAGAACGAAAGTTCATTGAAAATTTATACAGATATTTTCATTTAGAGATACGAATCTTTCTGTTTTATAATAATGAAATAATGTAGAAAGCATGTGAGAAAATCATCAGCTGTCGAGAGGAATAATTCAACGAAAGATAAATATATTCTACGTTACTCACCATTCGTAAAATAGAACTGACGTCTTTATCGACATCGGAGAAAATAGAAAGCGTTAATTTAACGTGAAACACATACATGTAACGATAGTATAAATGATATGTTGTACATCTAAATATAATCCGTAAAAAGGAAAAAGTAATTTAATAGAATTATTTATCAGGTAATAAAGCGATGTAAAACGCAGTTCATTAATAATAAATTTTTGCATGTATAATGTACAGTTTTACAATATTCATTACTTTATATTCATAAAATATAATTTTCATATTGCTTTTTCCAAGAAATTTCGATTTACAATTTAAACAGCCATTAGCTCATCAATATATTCATGCGATAATAAATGCGATCAAAATTATTAAAATAAGAAATAAGGACATAAAATAAATATGTTGTTTTGTGTTGCGAATGAAAATATTTCTTATATCCTATTTTTATATCAGGCTTATATTATTGCGAATATATCGGTAATTTCCGCTGCAAAGAGATCTATTTATGAAGAAGAAAATATCGTTAATCGAGATAGAAAAAATATCATTGATAGCATATTATTTTTCCTTTTAAAAGACATTTTTGCCAAGATTTTCCTTGTGAAAGCACCGTTATTAACTCTATTTAAAATGAAGCTTACTAGAGCAAAGTGAATCTATTGCATCAACCTAATAACTTTACCATCTTCATATTGTACATAGAAACTTTTTACCTTTCAAATATCTTACGATTAGATTTAAACTACTTTTGTGCCACAGTTATAAGGAAGAAATTAAAATTAATTCTTAAGCTAACTTTGATGAGCTTTCTAACTTCTATGTCACGTCTTTAAGTAGTTGTACTTTTAGAAAAAATCAAATGTCGTAATTGTATGCATATATAAGTGAGTCCTTAAATATTCATGCGGAGACTTTGATATCCTATATAACAAAGTTTTATATTTTTATTTAATATGCGTTATATTTTTGAGCTTAAAGTTTCATGCTATATATTTTTGATAATTTATAAATAATACATGAAGAATTTAATATATACATGAAATAACATGTCACTGGTGTAAAATTTTCATGTGGTTATCAAAAACAAAAAACAATATTATTAAAATATTACATTTCATAGTATCTTTCTTTACAAAACATATATGTTTTAAATGATGTTTTTATTATTCTATTAATTTTTCGATTTTTGTGTAATATTGTTTCAACTTTTCTTCGCGCGATCGTACATTTCAATATTTTATACAAAAACCAAATTTTTTAATATATGTCACAATATTATATTTTAATGTTAAATCAATACAAACAAAAAGGAAAAAAAAAGAAGGAGATCATATAATATTGTTTTAGTAAAAAAAAGCAAAGATAAGATCTCAATATGTCTTATTGCACAATTCAAAACAATGTACATTAATAAAAAGGATAAAATATGACAAAAATATCTAGTTATTGATCATCTGATAAGAATCCCAACGACTTGATTAGCTAGGCTTTTATGATAAAAGCTGAATATCAACCAAATATGTAGGAGGTCTTGCCACCTGACATTTCTCTATGTTCAGTCATGTGCTTCTTATCTAGCTCCGCATATACACTTCTCGTTTTCTGTTTCACATATCTCTCGTTCGTGATATCAGCGTTATATATATTCCCTGCTTTCTTTCCACTTTATCTGGTCCTTCTGTGTCAACCTCGACTATCTGTGTTCAATCTTTTCTCTGTACCGTCTCTACTTTTTGTCTACTTTACCTCTTTTCCTCTTTCCTCTTTACCCCTTTCCTCTGGTTCCCTTTCTCTTTCCTTTGCTGCCTTTTTCCTCCCTCGCACTCCAATATACATATATATATATATATATCTGGCACTCTATCTCCCTCTTTTTCTCTCTCCCACCCTTTATCTCCCCAAGAGGGTATCTGATATCCCGCTAGAGAAGTTCAGTCGTTGACGCGCCGTGAAACCAGCAACAACATCACACGAAAATTTATTAGCAAAGACGAAATTTATTACAAAAACGAATATAATATCGGAAAATTTTGCTAATTTTGATGATTATGTTTCTCTTACGTGCGCTTCTTAATATGTTCACCACCGAGTAGGTCGAACAATCGCTTTGATCGGGTTCAGCACGAATTAATCCAATGAGAACTGGAATCGATATTTCGTAAATAGTGTTGAAACTTGCAAAAGATAAATAATCGGATTACGTTACAATCCGATTGCGTTATGCAGTCGGGCGGACTATATTGCCGGTATATCTACTGAACGGGCGGATTCTATTGGTTGCTTCTACTGAAAGACCGTCTGACTACGACAGGATCTTCCACTTATCATCTTCGACGAATTCGCTCATGAATTACTTCTTGCTACTGGCTTTCACATTCGCACAAAAGTAAGGAAATATTATTACGATAATATTATTAAATTCCTGTATTTAATTTGAACAAACATTTTTAACTTTAACATTTTCTTTTTAACTTTTAATTAGATTTTATTTCCTCCTATTTAATAATATGACACATAACTTTTTTATAAATATAAAGTTTGTAATAGATTATAGAATATATATTTTTATATAATTTTCTATTATTAGTAGTGTAAAAATTTTTTAATTTACTTATATATTTTATAAATTTAAATTATTTAAAAAATTGTTTTGTTAATTTATAAAAAAGAAATAATTTTTAAAATAATTTTTAAAAAAAGAAATATATAAAAAAGTCGTAATTTTCATCGTAATTTCTCATTTGTTTAACAATACAATACACAAGTCATACAAGCCGATAATGTGGTTAAATCAGTATAATCGATCGCCGTCAATTTATTGAAAGGTCACTAGAGGATATGAAATTTCAATAACGTATCCTATCCGTGAAAATTTTTGCGACTATAGATAAATTATTCCTTTATCGAATATGTTCAGTCCAAACAAGATCATTTATAAGAGGTGAAATCAAATCGGATTATATCTACAATCATAGGAAAATCATTCAAAGTTGTTTTTTTGTATTTTTTCAAATGCAACATTCATACAATATTAATATTACATTTTATAAAAACTGCATATATTAATTTATATTTCTGCTTACATAAAATTGTCCCCTTAAATATATATAGTTGTTTTAATATTAGTAGTGTGCATTAATATTTTTTAAAAATTGCAATATTATTTTATTTTTTTATATTTTATAGTAAAATGAAAAATTGTTGTGCGAAAAATATTTTACATTAATCCCTCAATGATATTATGTATTATTATAAAATTTATATTTAATTTACTCCAAAAAATTATATTTTGATTAAATAGCTCATAATTAACAACAACAAAATGTGATAAATCAGTCGTGACAACATTATCATTATAAAGAAAATGACAATCCTATATTTTGCACAAAAAATTGTACAAGTATTCATTTGCGAGATTTCGCAAGAATCATAAAGAATGCATTAGAATTTATTAGAATGATATATTGCGAGCTGTCACCTACACAAGCCTTATCCTTTTCACCAGAAAGATAAAAAAACAATCATTTCCCCAAGGAATCGTATTATATTTTCAATTTGTCTACAATTTGTAAACGATGTTGTCACAAACTCGCAAACTTGATATTTTTAAGATTAATTATACAATGCAAAGATCCGAGAAACCGAGAAATTTGAGTCGTGTTTAAAAAATGTCATTTTTTGCATTTAAAGAGATAACAATTTTAAATCAACTCGTAATATTTTATACAAAGAATTGTATAACTCTATGAGAAACACGAGATGCATAAACAAATTGCATTGTCCAATGCAAGACACCGAGTCAAGAATACATTGAAAAGAAGTAATTTTTTTTCTCATCTCCGTTGACGATGACATAATCAGAATTAATCAGACCAACAAAAAATAAACATTTGCAAAATGCAGAAAGAGAGAGAAAGAAAACTAACCGCGTACATTTCCATGTAAATTTGTGGCTTTTCGATTTTTCAAGAAATGTAAGATAAAGAGAAATGTAAACTATACATTACATATATATATCTATAAATTCTTGTACAATAATTTTTGTAAATCCACAAGCCGTTAGGATTCACAAATATTTGCAGAGAATCAACATAACAATATAACCGCATATTCTTAAATTTTTTTGTTATTGTCTCCTCTTAGTTTTATCTTAGTTTTTAGCTTATAAGCCGGGAATAACCGGGGATACATTGTTATACACCGAATGCAAGCATTGTGGCATTGAGATACGATGCCATTGTACAATATAAAACGCGCACATACAACACGTGCGTCATACATAGGGTGATAAATCCTATCTATGAGATTATGATTTCAAGTCACGTAGTCTTGTTATTTTCTCTGTCGTTCTAATAATTTTTTATTAATAAATTTCTTTTTAAAAAGAATGATATTACAATAATTTCCATATTTTCAGTAAAAAAAATACTTATGGAGGAATTGGATCAATTATTTTAAATTCATGAATCTCGATATATATTTTCAAGGGATTTATTAACTTTTAATGTATAACTCATCCTTCTTAAATAATTTCATATATAAATTAATTTGAGAGAGCGCTGAGTTAAAATAACTGATTTTCTGCGACTATCTTTTAGCGAAGGTACGTGTCGCCGGGTCAGTTATTAAGTATAATCATCGTGTTAATCTGCTGGAGAACCGTAATGATATGATTTGGTCGAAAAGATGGGAATAGAGTCCGACGACAGATAATTATACTAATAGGATTAATTACCGTCTGTAAATTTTCTCATAATTATAATAAATAATTCAACTTTTTACTCATTAAAATTCGTTGAAAATTCCACATTGTAATATAATTCGGAAAATTCTATTTTTAATAAAATATGAAACATTCAAATGCATAAAATAAATTAAAAATTGTAAAATTTAAAATTATAAAATTTAACATGGTCGATATATGTGAAAAAAAAGATAGAAAATTTTATGTTTGATGATATTGATTTTATGTTAATAATGCCTTCTTCTTTGAATCAATTGAGTGCAATCTGAAACATTTATGCATGCTTTACGTTATAATATTGTGGAATCTGATTCCTATTATATTTTTCTATTCCCCTCGCCCAATTTTGCTCTCTCTCTCTTTTCTCTCAATTTCTCTCTCTTTCTTTTATTCTCTCGATATGGTAAATAATGATGGATCAATTATTAGATTAATGCTTCCAATACTTCTGCATATCATACCGTTGTGTGTGTGTGTGTGTGTTACTTGGATATAAAATATTAATCGCTTTCGCAATTCCATAGTAATTTGTTGTTCGACATTGACAATTAATTAGTACCGAAAAAATTCATTAAAACTTTTTTTAATGTCAAGCTTTTTGCCCTTTGCTTTTTCAGCCGTTTTATAAGAATACTTCATCGGCAACGTTACAAAAGAAATATACAAAAGTAATCGATTGTGTCATTATATTGAATAATTCTTTATAATTTAAGTGTTTATATTTTCATAATAATTACATTTTTCCGTAATTAAAATTCAGATATTTGTAACGTATTCAATCAAATAATTTTAAATCCGCAATTAATGAGAAAGCTTTTCACTTTATTTGCATATAAAAAAGATTCGTATCTTTCGCTTCCCTTGTTGACTGCTTGCTCGCATTAATCAATTTTTGGTTGACAGCCGTATAATTCTCACGAGAATAATTTAGATTGCTAAAGGAAACTGTTTTAGAATTTAAATTTCCAAAGAGAGTCGGTCATCACACAGTTGCATCACATTTTCACTCTTGTCACCGAATAATCCGAGACAATCGCAATTTGCGCTTGCCGGCAACCAGTACTTGCTACGTAGTTGTTTACCGAGAAGCTTACTCATTATTATTCAAGAATGGCAGTCCACAATGTGCCAATCACGCCTACGCACCCGTTGCCAAGGCTATCCGTAAAAGGCAGAATCTTGATATAAAATTAAGAAGGGATCCGCAATAAACATATCAAGCAAATATTTCAAAAAAATTATTATTTAAGGTTGCTCATGCGCGAAATCGCATATATAAGCAACTTTAAATTCGCTTCCACGAATTATTTAACAACAAAGTAACTTTCCTTTTTATGCACTGAGAAAAAAAGCTATCAACTTGACTAAATCGTTCAATTAAATTATTATTTTTTTAATTGAAATATTTAAATATTTAAATTAAATAGATATCATGTTAGATTTAATATGTATTTTTTAATTTAAATAATTATAAATATTGCAATTAAAAAAATAATAATTTAGTTAAATGGTTTAATTAAGTTAACAACTTTTTTTCTCAGCGTGCACCTCATAAAATTCTTAGAACTATATTAAAACTAGAACTAAATTAGAACTATATTTTAAAACTTAGAACTAAATTAGAACTATATTTTCTCTGTTGAAAAAGAATATTATGGCTTATATAAAGTCTAATGTGTAAATTATAGTTTAATTGTTAAGTAAATTATATTGTAAGAGAAAATTGCTCCCTCCCTCTCTCTCTCTCTCTCTCTCTCTCTCTTTCTCTGCATGCGTGTGTGTCCATATCATTTTCGCACAAAACATATATAAAGCAGCATAATTTGTTGAAAAAAATAGAATAAGAAGGCAACCAAGAATAGCAACCGCGCGCATTTCTTTACAAAAATTTTAATATATTTATAATATAAAATAATTTTATAAAGTACTTGCAAATTCCACTTTACTTTCGCTGTACTTTCTGCATATTCTGCATTTCATTATTGTGAAGCGAGATGATTCAGGTGCAAATTCTGCAATTCTGAAACAGTCCCTACGGTCGTATTATTAAATGTATTTTGCGAGTTTCTAATAGAGCAACGTGATGCACTTGATCGGTATAACTGATCCAATTACGTTCTCACGCTTCTATGACTACAAATTCCGCTAATAACTTTGTGCGATACGCCAATCTCCGGGCAAAACATATAATTAAAGGGAAATCCATAATTACATCCATAAGGCATACATGACAAGAATGTGGACTACGTGAGACATGCAAGTACTATGTATACACAAATGTTTATGTCCACATAACTCAATCTAGCAATAAATGCACTTGCAATACCCTGAAGCAACCCCGGAAATATCAATCGTTTGTTTATCACAAATATTCCCTCTAGAATGCATTTAATGTCACGTATAGTTTCCAGGAACATCTGTCCTATGGGATACCATTATATTTTCAAACATTTCAATTTAAAAATTAAACGAATATCCGTCATGCAAACTTGACATTAAATAAGTAAAATCATTGATTAAGCTGAATAAACAACAGTATATTATATTCACAAAACAAAACAATGATAATTGACTTGAGGCAGTCTTGCAAACATGTCCTAGTAAGTTTTCTCGGAAAAAGTAATTTTTGTTGTCGTGTAATTTTTATTTGATATCTTACGTCGCGATAATGACATAACTTTGGGATTCCTGCATTCGACTTATATTATTCGAGATATTTTATCGACATCGTAACTTGATATATATCTGTTATAATGTTGCAATAATAATTTAATGAAAATTTTGCTGAAAAAATTATATGCGCAAAATTTACATAATTTAAATAAATATTAAATATCATCGTGCATATAAATTTAATGTTGACTCTCTTGTTAAATGATTTATTAAATCTCTCATGTCATATTAAATTATAACATTAAAAAGAAATCATGTTTGTACTTTTTTACAAAAATAAATAAAACTGTCATTCACGCAATTTACTACGACATGAAACTTCAGTAAAAGCACAGGGACGGAGAGTTGCAAGCGAATGGATAGAGGCAAAGTGGAATGCAGAGAGAGAAAAGGTAATTTATTATCCAGGCGCGTTAATAGCATAAATCGTGCAAAATGTTCAATTACGACAAACGACATGACATCGTAATTGCAACTAGTTGTCTCGGTTAAGATACAATCTTGTATCCGAGAATATAAATTTTGCGACTGTGTGACTTTTGAAACTGTCGAGTCCAATTCACTTGCTACGATCTTTTCTGTTCCCTTTCGATTTAGAATTAACCCGACGAATTCGCCGATTATTGGTATCGATTTCACTTCCAACTAGCGATAACACGATTATCGGTAAATTCTCATTAGAATCGCGAATTCAATTAAGTACTGCGGAGTAGCCTGCGCTCTCCGTATAATTTACTTCAATAAATATTGCCTGTCTCTACGTCTGTCAATAATGCACTCTCGCAATCGTGTGAGGATAATGTTAATAAAACCAAAAATAAAATAAGTTAATTTTAAACTAGTTAAATAAATTAATTAACTAAAAAATAAATTAGTTAATTTTAAACGACTAATCAAAATATAACAAGTTTCATATATCAGACTATATTACTTTTATAATATATATTGCACTCACATATGTTCGTTTTCTAGAAACAACATAGGAATCCAAGAAAGATATAAAAGTTTTCTGAGGCGCATCTTTATTCTAAATTTATTCTTGTATTTATAGAGATTATTTTAAGCGTGATCTTGAATAATCTTAAGGTTCCACTCAGTCAATGAAATGATTATGATCTTAAGACTGTGCTTGACATAATTATAAATACAAGAATTATTAAATAGAATACTCTAATTAATTATTCTATTAATATTTAATAGAATATTAAATAGAATTATAAGAATTAAGTATTTTCGATGCAGTTCTAAGGGACTTTAAACGATTGGGAGACGCCCTTTAAACACCTGCGACTTAAACAGCTGTCACTTACATGCACGTTAAATCTTGATTCGGATTTTCGAGTGACACAGAACATTCAATCATCTTTTTTACAGGTCAGGTAACGAGTACTGAAGACTGAGAATACGAAACGTCAAAGAAATAATGGTTTCGTCCGCGATATTCGGAGCAGCCGCCGGTACAGGCTTAGCCCTAGTGGTGGCGATGACGATCGTAATTTATCGTTATTACGCCATGAAGCGAAGAGGAAAATGGAATTGGAGCAATCTGGATCGCTGGCCGGACCCACCATCAGACAACAGAAACAGTAACGACGAGTACCAGCCTCATCATTATCACCACTGTCACACAGCAACGACATCGCACGTGCTCGACTGCTGGCGGAAGCCGCAAAAGAGTTACTACGCTGTGCAGACTGTGGTTAGTATCTATAATTATCAGTTCGACATTAATTCGCCACGTGACTAGTCATCTGTAAGTCATCAAAAATCCTTTTTCTAGTGGAAAACTTAAAATTTCACGAGAATTTCGTATTTGTCGTGAATTTCGTATTTGTCGTGAATTTCGTGTTTTATTATTACAAGGGGAGAAATCATGAAGAAACTCTCAAGAATGAAAGAAGTAATAGAAAATTACGCGAAATGCTTCTAATAAAAACTTGGATATCAATAGATAGCTATTTTCGCATAGTTACGTAACATTTTCCTTCTCCAGAGATCAATAACTTCTTGGTATCATCTGATGATGGAGCCTTTGATTCCTTGTTTTTTTCTTTCGTTTTTGTCAATTAGATATCCTCAAGTTGTAAATTTGTAATAAATTAATGTAAATACTATTTAGTAGCTTTAAAAGAATTCTTTAAGTTTAAAAATATACTTTTTTAATGCATGAGATACCGGCTGGCAAGAAATGTCGCTCTCATGCTTACCAGGAACTCGTCGTCGATATTTAAATGTCGCATCTATGTCGGTAGGATATGAACAGGTCGGTAAAGCGTTTCCGAAAGACGGTAAGATATTGCAAAATTCTACTGTACTTGATCCTGTGCAGAGAATCCTGCAGAGATCCTGCTACGCTATCCGTGACCGTGGCAAGATAAATCTTATTCACTGCCTTATGTCGGCAAACTAATCATTTCGCATGTCCAAGGTGATCGTTGATATTGTCGAAAGATCGTATATCGATTAAAATATATCGATAGAAGACGACTAATATTCACGCTAACAATTATTGCTATTTAAATTTGAAAAACAATAGCGTAAATTATTTCATTAACATTATCTTTTTTTCATTCATAAACTTTCTTTGACAAATTAGTAATCAATATTCCGTAATAAAATGACTTTTATACTTTAATTGAATGTATGTTGAAAGCAAATACATCTATATGCATCTGTTTTGTTTTTAAATTATAAAAATGTACCAGTAGATTTCTTTCAAAGTCAAATTGCTGTTAAGCATTTATTATACTTCTGTGATTCTCAAAAATTGACAAAAGTAATGTATAAAATTTAATGTATAAAAAAATCAATTGTGTACATTTTCCTGTCGATTTCCTGTTTATTAATCCAACAAACTTTGATATATTTATCATAAAAAGTGCTTGGTATATTTCCAATACATTTTATTTTAAGTTCCTTGTACTTGTATTCGCTAAGTATGTTGCATGTGAGGAGATAATCTTCTTATGTACGGAAATGGATACGTCGTAAACAGATCAATCTAACAGTCAAACTTGATTGATAAGACCTACATTTTTCTTTTCATATTATATTTGAAAAAAAAAAAAAAATATTTTTTTCCATTGTTTAAATAAAGTTCAAGCTGCAGAAGCAAATGATTTGATTGCAAGCAAATGTAATTATGTATTGTTTATATACATTTGCGCTGGGGTTTACAAAGCGAAATATTATTCTTATCGTAAACGAGAGCGATGTTATGAAATACACAGAGAAATGAAATTAATAAGTTTGTTATTCCTCCGTTTATTATATTCCGCGCACACGTAAAGGGCTTTCTGTTCCGAACCGGAACATTGAATTTCGATCGATACAGCGTCTATAAGCGCGACAGATATCGTTTTGCGAGAGATACGCATTTACAACGCGATAGTGTGTCACGAAGGCAGATGGATTTTACTGTTAGGGGATATTTTATATATATATCTTGATTTGTCTTCTCACTCTCTCACTCTCTTTCTCTCTCCCAACGCGTTATTTATAATTTATATTTATAATTTATTTGAGATTCTACCATTCTACCATTATTCTGACGTCAGAATAGTACATGAGTAATATATAAATATAATTAAAAATGTTAACGTTGAAAGTGACCGAATCAATCTTTTTAATATTTCTGTTTCCTGTCTGCTAAATATATTGGTCAAGTTAATTATATAATATAAATGACATAAATGATGAATAATAGCATAGCAAGAGAATCCGTTTGATTTTTAGTAAATGCAAATTCAATATGTAATGAAAAGATTCGTCATGTTTTTTTTCATATGACAATGTATATAATTCCATGTATTTGAAAATTTAAAGAATATTAAATTTAACGTTACGGAAAAATTAAATTACTAGATTAATCCACTTGAACTTTCGAAAAGGTCAGTGAGACATTGTCGCAGTAAATCCTGTCGATTCATTTTTCTTATGCATAAAACGTTTGATTATCTAACTTTTCGTTCAAATCAATTTGCAAAATTGTGAACTCTCATTTTGTGCAAAGTGCATTGAAAGCGGTAATTAGGTTAATGTACCGTACAGTCCAATGTTATCCCGAAGATGCGAGATTGCTTAGCTCCTCCGAGACTTTCTGTCTCTCTCTCCTCTCTCTCTCTCTCTCTCTCTCTCTCTCTTAGAAGGTATTCTTAAATTTAAATATTGCCAACATTAAATAAGCAATCTCATTTCGTTAAGAAAGTACTTTAAACGAAAATTGTTACATATCGTGCAATTATAATATAACAATGTTTTATTAACAAATAATTTTTTATAAAGAAAATCAGACTTTGAATAAATGTCATCCAGTCACGCGATGTTATTTAAATCAACAAAGTAGTAATATAAATTCAGTTTCTAAATGTCATTACATTCATGAGACAAATAATCCAAGAAAAATAGCTAGTCTACAGTCGTAATAGTTTGCGTGCTTGCTTACTTATATCCATTACCGTGATTGTAGAAAGGTTAAAAAATATATCGACGAAGAGAGACAGAGAAAGTGAGAAAGGGAAGGAGAGAGCGCAGCCTGCATACTTTTAAAGTTTTATTGTACCGATCTATAACTGTACATATGTACTATACATACAATGTACAACTGTCCTCGTGTAACGAAAAGTTCTTATATACAAGACGGAAAAGAATTATTAGTTCAAGAACGGATATGCAATCTACATATGAGTGTGTAAAAAGTTTCGGAAATCTTCTTAAATTAAAAAAGCTCGTTTATTTTAATCCTTCTCCGGATAAAATAAGTCCAATGCAATCCAATCCTAATTAATAATGTCTAGACGCGAACTGTTATAGAATTATGAGTTCAATGCAGTCCAATCTGGTTAATGTCTAGGCACGAGCAGTTATGCTAATTATTATTAAATTGACGCTTTAGCAAATTGAACAATGACAGTTCACAATTCATCTACATTTTAACGAAACTTAATTAGAAATTTAATAACAAAAATTTCATAACATTTAATCGTTGAAAACGAGGACTTTCAAATTCCAAAGAATCTGAAATTAGTACGACATTTCGAGATTGAAATTAGTACAATCTTCTGAGAATTGTACATTAAATTTTTCTTTATTAAATAATTGGTAGCTAAAGGTAACTAATCTCCTTGCAAAGTCTTGGGAATAAAGTACCATGTTGCGTGTCTCATTGTTTCTCAGTCTAAAAAACGATATAAAATAGAAAGGATTTTAAGTACACAAGCATAGTGCAATTATATACAATTGGAGCAATAAAATCTTATCTATCCTATGCTTGATATTACGATCGGAAAATCGAATCTCTTTTTCAATTTATGCACATGACTCGCATCGCGTCATCTCCTTGCAGTCTTGGGAATAAAGTACCATGTTGCGTGTCTCATTATTTCTTAGTCTAAAGACGATATAAAATAGAAAGGATTTTAAGTACACAAGCATAGTGCAATTATATACAATTGGAGCAATAAAATCTTATCTATCGTATGCTTGATACGATCGTAGAATCGAATCTCTTTTTCAATTTATGCACATGACATCGCGTCATCTCCGCTTCTGATACGAATAATAATTAAATTTTACATTCAACGCTCTTAATTACATAATTTACATTAATATATATATATCGTCCATATAAACTGAGACAAAAGTGGAACTACTTTCCTGCTCCGAAATCGCTCGCGTCCCTGAGGTGTAACCTGTTGCGGCGCACGCACCATTTTCTATCTCTCTTTCTCTCTCGTGGCCGATATCCATCTTCTCTTCTGCTATCCACCAGTCGAGGGTCTCTCTCTCTCTCTTGCTCTTTCTCTCTCTCTCTCTCTCTCTCTCTCTCTCTTGCTCTCTCTCTTTCTCTCTTCCCTCTCGGTGGCGGAACCGACCGCCCACCACCTCCAGCCATCAGCTACCCTCGGCGGCGAATCACCGTTTTCTGGTGGTGCACGACGAGCCCTGGCTTTGCGTATACGAAGTCAGTCGGGCTGGCCCAGTATCGCGGTACGGTGATACCCGGTGATACATGTTCGGCATCCACGTCGCCGTAATCGACGTCACCGCGAACGAAACCACGAAAGTTGACGACTTTCGTACGTCGGTGAGTGCGAGTAAGTGAACGAAATTAATCCCGCGCCCGCACCGTCATCAATCGAGCACGTTGAATCGGTAGTATATCGAACGAAGGTGTTAATTAATTATTATCGTGTAATGAGAGAACCTTCCCTTCCTCCCTCCCACGCTGTTCCCCGCTTCCGAAGCTGAATGCTCGCTGTTACTACTCGGATGACCGACGGCGAATCGGGTCAGCATGGCGTTTAAGTAGTCGTAATTCTGACTGTTCACTCGCTTCCTCTCTTGGGTGAAGAGAAAGAGAGAAAGAGAGAGAAAGAGAGAGAGAGAGAGGGAGAAAGAGGGAGAGAGAGAGGCGAGAGAATAGACAGGGTTGACGTAAAATTAATCGGATCGGACTACGGTTAGAGTAATGAGCCGCGGTCGCGCATAACCGCTGAACCATAATGAAATCCAGTTGTATTTGAGCTTCATGCATGATTAATGGAGGGCGGCGACTACGAGGGGCGAAGTTACGAAATTTCGCTCTGTGCTGAATGACCAATTCGTAGTTTTTATAGAGAAAGTAGGGCAAAGCGCGCAGTAAGGAAGGGATCGCTATAGTACTTGAGGGACTGAGGCAGATAATGGTAATGTAATTTT